AACAGAGAAATGGGGCCTCATTTGGGAAGCTCAGAAACACTTAATTCTGCATTATTATTAAGCCTCACCGCTACATTACTAAGGAATTGACTATAGACACTGCAGTTTTCCTAATGTCTATGGCAGAACTTTTCCTTTTGTGTTGGATTCGGAACCTCAACAGAATAGAGACTTGGATAAAATCGGCTTTCTTCTGAGTGTCGTGATTTTATTAGTATTATTTTCATTTTCTTTTGTCATTGTTTTGTGTTCAGACATGCCAAGTGTGTTTTACTCTTTGGTGTATATCAAGTTTGAATAAGAGCTTTAACAACTTAGTTTAGACAGTTATTAGATAGAATTTCTTTGCTATCTCAAACCTAATGTTTAAGCTTCTTTTTGTGTGAATATTATTTCACTACTCTAAGCTGATGTTAAAGGTCTTTGTTCTCTTGACCTGTGTTTTCAGGCTCAGAGGCCAGTGCTCTCCCTGATGCTGGGGAAAGGGCTCCTTTTGAACAGCAGCATGGTGAGGAGGAGTGGGACACAAGTCTTATGCAGGAAACTGCTGCAGAAGAGAAAGAGAAACTCAGTGAGCAGCACACAGAGAGCAGACAGAGTGTCGAGGATCTGGACTGTGTGCACATGATGAAGACAGAACCTGAGAGTGAGACACACGGGCTCTTAGTATCTGATATCAATATACATGTTTTTAATAATGTTAATACTTTTAATACTGGAGAAGGATTTAATGAACCAGAGTCTGCGTCTGATTTTGTACACAAAGATGAAAAACTGAACGAACTAGATGCTTTTAGTCCTTCAGAGCTAGAGAAAAAGCCCCAGATGATTCACACTGCTGAGCAGCACACTGATGGACATGATGGGCAGAACACAGCTCAGGATCAGCAAACAGAGCAAGATCATTACTGGGGGCATTTGGAGAATAAGAACCCAGAGCAAGGCCTAAAGATCAGGAAGAATTATTCAAGGCCTTGCTCAGAGGGAACTGACAAACTGTCATTACATCACAGGGAAGAGCTGGGGTATTATCAGTCTAATACTCCAAACCCCCACAAACACCTTCAGGCAGGAGAGAAACAATTCAGATGCCGTCAGTGTGGGAAGAGTTTTAGTCGACTAAATCGATTAAAAACCCACAATTTTATTCATACAGGAAAGAAACCGTTCTGTTGCAGTCAGTGTGGGAAGAGATTTTGTACATCAAGCAGTTTAAAAAGACACCAGCACACTCACACTGGAGAGCGCCCATTCGGGTGCAGTCAGTGTGGGAAGAGGTTTAGTCGGTCAAGTAACTTGAAAACACACCAGCGCATTCACACAGGAGAGAAACCATTCATCTGCAGTCAGTGTGGGGAGGGTTTTCGAGACTCGGGTACCTTAAGAGTCCATCAGCGCACTCACACAGGAGAGAAACCATTTTGCTGCCATCAGTGTGGGAAGAGTTTTAATTACTTAAGCAGCCTTGAAACCCACCATCTTATTCACACAGGAGACAAACCATTCTGTTGCAGTCAATGTGGGAAGAGCTTTAGTCGATCAGGTAATTTAAAATTCCATCAACGCATTCACACAGGAGAGAAACCATTCTGCTGCACTCAGTGTGGGAAGAATTTTAGTCGGTCAAATGCCTTAAAAAGGCACCAGTGCATTCACACAGGAGAGAGACCATTCATCTGTAGTCAGTGTGGGGAGGGTTTTAAAGACTCAAAAGCCTTGAGAGTCCATCAGCGCAGTCACACAGGGGAGAAACCATTCAGCTGCAATCAGTGTGGGAAAAGTTTTAATTACTTAAGCAGCTTTAAAATCCATCAGCGCACTCACACAGGGGAGAAACCTTTCCATTGCAGTCAGTGTGGGAAGAGTTTTAGTCGGTCAACTAGCTTAAAGTTCCACCAGCGCATTCATACAGGAGAGAAACCATTCAGATGCAGTCAGTGTCGGAAGAGTTTTAGTCAATTAAGATATTTAAAACGTCACCAGCACATTCACATAGGAGAAAAAAGCTTCTGTTGAAGTCAATGTGGAATCAATTAGGCAACTTAAAATCCCACTAGTGCATTCAAGAAGTGGAGAAACCAGTCATCTGTGAAGGGTTTTATTAAAACCCACAGGAACACTCACACAGGAGCGAAGTCATTCAGTTACTGTCAGTGTGGGGAGTGTTTAAGCGTGTTGAGTAAATTGAAAAGGCACTAGTGTGTTTACTAGTTCAGTTGTATTCTGTGTTGAAAGAGAATTAAAGACTTGGTTATCATCAAAAAGCAATTACACAATCATTCAGGAGAGTTGTTCAGCTGTAATAACTGCATGAAAGATTTGCAATGTTCAGAGCCCCATTACATTAGCCCAGGAGAGAAACCTTTCAGCTTCAGTGTGGGGAGAGTTCTTCTAGAACGTACCAGCTTAATTTTTCCTGACATTGCTTTTGTCTTTTCCGTTTCTATGTGTATGTGTGCATTGCCTATAATAGGTCTACATACCTTTTCCATAATATATTTTGTGGCAAAAACAAAACACAAGAAATTAAGGCACACAAGATCAGAATTTATACAATTCTTTTAACTTTATTTACACTTTGGAATGCAAACTCTGAACAAAGAGTTTAAACAAATGTTTAAATGTTCTGTAAAGTAATCACATCTCCTCTTGTTAGACCTTTAACGGATTAAGTTGTAAACACTTAAAATGCTAGTTTTCTCTTAATTTGGGGATTTCAAATCAGTCTACAGTAACTGGGTATTTTTCGGTTAAAATATAAATTTTATATTTTCTTTCTCCTTTAAGTGACATCTCCACTTGATGAGGCATCCTAATGAAAAGCAAGTATTGATGACAATTTTTTAAAGGGGAATTGTCAACACCTGATTAGTGTCAGCTAGGACATTAGTGTCAGTTGGGAGCTTCAGAGCAAGAAAGGAAGGGATGTGTAGGGGGTCTGAGACACCTGATCAAAGGAATTGTCTAGTTATCCTGGGTCAGTTCAGTTCTTGGTGAATCATTATGAGCCATCAGCTTTCCAGAATAAAAGAGACAGAAGAGAGGATAGACAGAAAGACACAAGGAGTAAGAGAAAAGGCAGCAACTGGAGGTGAGAGGTTCTTGTTTGAATCAACTGTAAAGACCAGATTTGTGTTAAATATTTTAACCTTGTCATTCTTTAGTTTTAAGGAAACTGATTTCCTGTGCAAAGTATCCCTAGGTTAAAAATGTGGTTGGTGGTCTGGTTAGTGGATACATATTTTTAGAATGTGGAGATTATATTTGTAAGCAGATGTTTGTATTCTGCTTAGTTTAGATAGCAGGTTTATCTCATGTTGGCCTATGTAGGTGGTATATAGGAATCTGAATACTTGGTAACAGACTGTATTTTTTTTCTTGTTGGCCAGAACAAAGGCCTCTGGGACACCTTGTTTGTAAATAGAGTAACTGGTATGTTTTATGTTGTATTTTGTGGTGTTTATTGTGTGTTATTGTCCTTGTTAATAAATATTTGTTTATCCAAGTTTGCCTCTGTTTTATTATTCACCATCTTTGAGATCTCATTGATTTATTGCCAAACTTTAGACATGAAAGATTCAGCTTAAATAACTGATTTTATGGGTGTTAGTACTGTACGAGGAAGAAGAGCTGTAGCAGAGACAGTTGGAAGCACGTTTTCACACATGGCTGAAGAGAATTGAACTAAAAACAAAACCTAAAACTTGAGCCATAAGAGTAAGGATCTCCTGACAGTTAAACGAGATGATGCTCAATAGAAGAACAGCGCTCCTCGTAAATATCATACTGAGCATCCTTGCTAGTCACATGGGGGAGACTGGGGTTTGATTCCTTGATGGTGAGGTAAGAAGTTTTTTCTATAACCTGATTACTAAAAATAGATTTTTTTACCTACACACCTAAATATAATTCAACATGGAATGTGCCTCAACTTCCAAAATCCTTGTAACAATAACTTCTTAAATTTCTTTCAAAAAGGAACATACTGTAAAAATGTAATTGTCAGAAGTCGGTTTGAACCTACAATTCAAGGGAGACTGCTCACTAAACAAAGGGCCTGTATCCAACATTACTGAAAATTTCTGATTTCATAATCAACAAGCCACCCAGTGTGGGACAGAAAACACCAGATAAACAGATAATTAAAACACAGCTATTAAACCTTCAAGGTGACAACAACAGGGGTGACGCCCACACTGGGCACTACATCCTGTTAATCCTTGACCATCTTACATCTTAATATTACCCAGCACTAACCTGAAATGCATGTATTCGATCAAATTGAAAATAATCAAGGAACAAAAATATTTGCGTTCAACATTTTGGCACCAGGCACTCAGAGACACAGATAAACCCAATGAAAATATTCCCACTATTCAATTACTGCAAGGCCAAACACTGTTAACTGTAAGTCTCAACTATTATTATTTTAACATGGAAATAGCTCCTATTTTTTATACTTTACAGTTAGAATGTTTAGAAATCACATAGGTAAGAAGATTTAATTGGATTCCAATAGAATAAATATTATGAAACTTTTACACCCATAAATAGGTAATTTCCCATACCAGTTGCACTGTGACTTTGCAGGTAACATGTTCTTTATGAAAATAATGTAATGACTAATAACTGCACTGGAAAAATCTTGGAAAGAAATCACAATATTTGCACCAGGTATTCGGACACAGAAATGGCCCATCACTAAGGAAATTCATAAAGTAGACGGATGATATAATCACAAATGTGATATATTCTAATGGCTGTTTTGGTTAATAATTAAACGTTTGTAAAGAACACAGTGTCTGTCTCTTGTTCCTCACGGAAGGATCTGAGCGTTCTCACATCAATTATTAACCAAAATAGCCATTAGAATATATAACACTCTCCTCTCCTTCGGCAGCACTTGTACAAGAGGGACTCAAGGACAAGAAGAGTCCAGTTTGTGTTTCAGACTGAGAAAGGAAAACTTCTCTTCAGACATAGGGTGTTGGGGTGAGGAACAAATAGTAGATTAGAGAAGTAGTCGAATAGTTTATTGCCATATGTACACGTACATTGGAATTCTTAAATTTCATGTTCAGCTTCTTCAGGCTGAACGAAGAGTGATTTCTAAGACCTGCTCTTATCAGGTTGCTTTAAAGGGCCTCAGAAGGAAGTTATTTCAGGTTTGTCAGTTCTGCTCTCCTGTTCAAACGTTAAATGCTGAAATATGTCAGCTCCTTGGTTATCTTTTCAGGTTCTGAAGAAATCAGAGCACTCTTGAGCAGTGTGGGCCAAGAAACAATGTAAAGGGTCAGTGGGTCTCCTTTGTTAGTATAGCAGTAAGTATCCTCACCTGTCACAAGGGTGATGGGGGTTGATTTCCCGATGGGGAGTTGCTTCTTTCAATCATGTCTATTTTCCATACAAGCCTTTTGTATCTTTTAAGTGTCTCTGCAGCCCTTTGATCTCAGGACGTATACTGAACAGAAACCAGGAAGAGCTTCAACACATGCCCTTGTTGGAGAACATTCCCTGGATCAATCAGGAAACCTATGAGTGAGATCCATGCACAGAGCCTATTGCCAACAGAAATCCAATGACTGAATTCTGCCGACAGCAATTCGAAGACCAACTTCGAGGAGTGAATGACAGGTACTCAATTGTTTACTTTTTGTACTTCAACATGTGCAAAACACTTGCATGTCCAGCAAATATCAAGGGGGTTAAGGCTTCACTGAGAAATCCAATCGAGATTTAGCAGAGATGATGTTTACATTAGAATAATGAGAAGTATGTCCCTGGGTGGGCTTGAACCATCAGTTTTCATTTGATCTCACAAAGCACTAACTGATTGAGCAACAGAGACTCACACCTTTCAGTGGTCTCCTTTCATAAGTTTTTGGTTAAAGAAACAAATTTTCCTGTCAGCTGGCAATATTTCTGCACTGATAAGCAAGATTTGTACATCTTTCTCAAGCTATATGAATTTCTTGAAAAACAAGTTGTTCCAGAAAGGAAATAGATATTTTCACTAAACTAAATCAAGCCATATGTGATTACTTATTTATATATTCTATACAGCAAGATAGGAAGAAAGGCACCACTGGGATTCAGACCCAGGATCTCCTGTTTACTAGAGAGGTGCTTTAGCTAACTAAGCCAAGGCACCGGCAGAGTACCGCCCTTATACAGCCCTCTTGGACACACCCCTCTGAGACATCTGCGTTCAGTGTGCATTAAGCCTGCTGCTGAGCAAGTTGCCTCCTTTACATGCAATAGCAGCACCACCAAGAGAAACAATGAGAAATGGCTCTGATCTGGCACTTTTCATGTCCAAGGGGCTCAATGCGCTTGACATTTCAAAAGGGTGACAGACCTGTGAGTTCTTTTGAGATGCTGCTTTTTTTCTTTCTTTCTATACTCGTTGATAAGAAAAGGGCAAATCATAAAAAGGAAAAATGTATTTTTTCATGGTAAAAACATCACCAGGAAATGTTATATTTAGAAGGAGTGATTTAACAGGATATGTGTTCTAATTCACCAGAATACATAATTTTTTTTATTGGCATTGCAATCTTCTGGGAGTTTTTAATGAAAGTTTGGGAGGAATGAAGGTAGCCAAGCTCATTACGTTTATCTGCTGCAAACCTTCACTAATTCTGACATAAGCACTCAGACTCCGTATATACCAAACGTCACCCTCCCTTCTTCCTCGCTCATTTTTTGCATAGCTAGTTTTTTTTGCATCACACAAGTACGTGCCCTGTCCTGCGCTACTTACTTTCATATTTTGATTACCCATGGAGCTGCAAATCTCTTGCTCTGATGAAGAACTTTTCTGCATCACAGAGGATTCCCCTATGTCTGCAATTTCCCTCACGGGATCAATAAAGTATCTATCTATCTATGTTCCTCAACCAGCTTGTTTCTTCTGCTTCTCTTACCACCGTCCTGTCCCCTCCATCCCCTGCTTTTTCCAATCAGCACCGCTCATCTCCCGGCCAGTCCTCACAGGATTCAGCTTCTCACCGAAGATAATGTTCCACTGTCGTCGTCCCTTTCTTCTCACAAATTCAGCCCTCTCATTCCTCTACTGAAAATTCTCCAATCAGCCCCTGCCTCACACGTAAATGTACCCACTGCGGTTCACGTATATATCCTCTCCTCCTCCTGGGTTGTCTTCCGTGATTACCAACTGGACTGTGGCAAGCCTTCAGAGAACGCACCGAAAACACAGACTCTGGTTTAAAAGAAATGCTCTCAAAAAAAGTTCTGTTTTCACTGTATCTATCTGCCATCTACAAAAAGTAAACTCCGGTTCTACAACATTCCCTGGCACCCTCTGCTGACGTCACCCACGCCGCTGTGTCTCATCCTGCCATATCTTTGTCTGCATCTCTTCCTTAACCAACCCATACCCTTTCTGGGCAACTGCACCCTGCTTCTTCTGCCCAGCTTCCTTCTCTAAACCACGTGCTGCCAAGTCTAAAGCCCCAGGTCCACGTCCCTCTCCAATCCTCTTCCTCTCTATTTAATGTAATTTCTGCAGTCTCTTCTGTCTCTGCCTCCAGCGTCCAACGTGGCCCAAGTTCCACTTGCTTGGTGCCTTTGGCCCAGGTTTCTTCTCTTTCAACCCCTGCTGCTCCTGCTGATATCCCCACAGCCCCAAGCTCATCCCCGACTCTTTTTCTGTCCTTATCTTCCCCTGTCCCAGGGGTCCAACCCAGCATCACCCATCTCATGCCTTAGACCCCAGATTCCAATCTCTTTGCATACTCTACCACTGGTGCCTCGGCCCCAGGTGTGTCCAGCATCCTACCTCAGCCCCTTCTTGCGGGCACCCTACTAAATCTTTTGTCTCTCCTATCCCCTGGCATCCAACATAGCTCAGTGGTGGCTCCAACTGTTCCACACCTACCATCTACTTCATCCAACCCATTATTCCCTCCTGCACCACCTGCTGGTCACACTCCCGCTCCCATCTCTCCTGCCTCATCCCCTTTCTCAAATAGGAACACGAACACATTTGCATTTCTGTACCTTCTGAGGACCTCCAATTGACTTTCATTCAATTTTTATTTTCTGTTATAAACTCCGGGGGAACAACTTTCAACATGGGATTAAATAGACACAAACCAATTTCAGAGAGGTAAATTAAAGTCATTTGCCTTGTAGAGATTGCATCAGCACCACCACAGCTATACGTGTGCACACAATAAAAACACTCCACTCAGTAGGCAAGCTCACAGAAGCAGTCTCATTCAGTTACACTCTTACTCCTTCAGCTGCCACAAAACCCTGACGAGGCTCTGAGCCAAGGAGCACAGGTGTGGAGTACAGGCAGCCTCTAAGGCGAAGCTGGAGACATACATTTTCCAAAAGCCAGCCTTCCTCCCTGCCCAGCTCTACTGACGACAGAGGCCTGCATTCGTACTCTTTTCTCACAAAGGGGCAGCCGAGGGAAATTCTTCAAAGCAGCACGAGGATCTGAGATC